TTTATGTGTTCAAATTTCTAAACGTTTAAATGCGGTATTAGAACTGGCATGTAACTTTTCAGAGTAATAAGGAGGATTACGCGTCTAAATCTTCTCTATCCATATTCTCGTCTCGATGCAATGAATGCATGCTTTCGTGAAAATAATGTCATGGTGAAAGACTCATAGAGAATTGAGTAAATAGAGGAAAAGAAAAGGCTTATGATAGTGAATGACACCTATCAGAAGATATCGTAAGAGTGGTATATTGCCTTTAGAATATGTCAAGCAGTATGTTTAGAGGAGTACGGTACGTCCGAAGTACACCTTCGATCGGCGGGATGATGGAACGATTGGTGTAATTCCTAAAGTTGTCCCATCGTATGGAGTTTCCACCGCCAAACGAGTTGAAGCAGAATTGATGATTGAAGATATGCGTGGAAGAAGTGCTAGTAGAGTCTAGGGGAAAATTTTGTGATTGCTTGGACACATTTGTATGTGTTAAAATTGTTTTTGTGATAATAACTTGGAAACCTGCGAGACAATACTTGGGACGAGTATGAGTAGGTGTGAAAGGTAGTAGAGGCCTATACTACCGGAAGCACAAGACTCACGCTTGGATCAAGGAAAGTCACAAGGTTACCAAGGCACTGGTAATTGATTATGTTTTGTTCATGTCTATCGTTACCATCGTTTCGGTAATGATTAAGAAGGTGATTGTTATTTCGACCCTAGTGGTCATATCAAATCGAGTCCGACTAAGATGAGTATGTTACGTGGTTTGGAGAACCAAGTTCGATGTAGCATCTGACTTAAGCCAGAAGATTGAAGTGAAAGATAATCGAAGCGACCAATAAAAGTATCACGCTCATTGTTAAAGAAGTTGGTAGCTAGAAATGCTACATGTCGAAATGTGATTATATCACATTAGAACATGACGGAAAGTACATTCCATTCCGGAATTTGACTCTAAGAAACCTGAGTCTAAGCGTTGCAACATACGATGAAAGTTCATTAGAACGTGACCCATCGGTCTATTGTGGAAATCAAAGAACTTATCTTAAGTTTGTTAATAATAAGAAGGAGTCTCCAGTAAGGATCGGTATTGTGAATCGAAGGTCATGATTAAAGGTCCAACATGAGATAAAGCGAGATCGAGCACCGCCTGCAGTCAAGGAGTCCAAGAGTTAGATACTCGTTCGAAGCAACATAGAAGTTACAGCTATTACCTAGGATGAACAGATAACGTATGGAGTCATTATACAACCCTGTTTCGTTGATGATTCCGGGATGTAATCATCATAAGGGGGAGATAATTGTAACGCCGGTAGATCCGGGCTAGTCAATTTAGTGACAATAAGCATCAAAAATGAGTTTTTGATGGAAGATTATTTAGAAGTATTAATCTTTTCCAAGTGGTAGTATATGTTACAAGGGTTCCGTACATATAAAGAACGCCGAAATCCGACTTATAACGAAGAAGTTATGGCCCGTCGAAGTTTCGCGGCAAAACCGACACGGCACTGGGAAACGTAAAATAGTGAATTTACGATAGAGCAATTTTTGGCCTTAGTAATCTGAATCAAAGTTGTAGTATACGTTAAACCGAGAGCGTCCATAACAAGAACGCCCTCAAATCTGACTTCGTATGAGGAAGTTATGATTTTTCTAAGATTTGGCTTAGTAGTGCACGACCCGAAACTCGAATTTTAGTTCGAGCGGTTTCTGGACTACGCGACCTAAATGAGAGTTGAAGATCTCATTAGTAGGAACTCAATGATAAAAAGACATACGAAAACGGAGTCCGTATGAAGAAGCTATGAATTTTACGCGGTCATTTAACAGTCTAATCTCCTCCTACTGTTAAATTTAAGATCGGTCGAGAGTTAGCCAACGGACTCTAAACGAAAGTTGTAGATCTTATTTTTACCTACGCGTGGATATAAAGAACGTCGAAAACGGAGTTCGTATGCGAAAGTTATGAATTTTTGAAAATCGGCTGATTTCCACCCTATGTGCGATGCCACGTGTCAGCACCAGGTTGTGCCTGGGTGTCTCCAGCTGGTCATGACGTGAATTTATGGTTCATGACGTGAATTGCCCCTAGCCAGCCTATAAATAGAGGTGTTGGGTTCCCTTCATTCTTCACACCATCCATCTTCAGTTTCTCTCTCTACTTTCTCTCTCTAAGCCCCAACCCCCCCCCCCCCCAAAGCCTAAGGTAACTCCATAGCACGAGGCGGAAGCCCCGGAGCGCCCGACGGCTCCGAGAAAAGAGTCTTTCGGCTCGGGAACGCTACTCCAGCGAAGCCCGGTTTTCGAGAAAACCCGCTGTAAGTGAGTTGTGCATACCCTATCTTTAGTATAACTTATGTTTTAATATAGTAATGTTATTAGGACCTTATAATAACTATTTGGGCTATTATTATGAGTTATATAAGTGTCGTTATAATATATTTTTAACCACTCGCGGTACGGGGAATCTGGTTTGGAGGGCCGCTTGGGTTACTGGATTCAGAAGTGCTATATGCCAAAATGATCATGCCCTCCGGTGTTTCATGTCTGGCCCCTATCTGTACATAGTGGGTGAAGAGTATTGTTTAACGCTTATATAATAGTAATAATAGTTAGACTATTAATTAGTCTCGGTGAATATAAGACTAAACTCTAGTGGTAATGATATTAGGTTTTATCCGAGGGAAATTGTTTTGAGATAACAAAGTGCTGTCCGAGTACCGAGTCACCACCTTACTAGGTGAGTGCATAGTTACTTTCATCTTACACATAAATATGAAGTTTTTTTTATATAAACTACGTGTTATGTATGCATATTGTCTGAATGCTTGTTGTCTATGCTGGGTGAAATATTTTTATACACGTTTTAAATGATTTAAACTGTATATGTATTTTATATCTACAAAATGTGTTGGGTAAAACATGGGTAGATGAAATAGTTGCTGTGTGACAAAAATAAAATGATGAAAGATGATATAGACCATGAGATAAGGGTGAGAGGTGAACTATGAGAGAAGCATTTTACCCAAGTGTTGGCCCCGTCATCTAGCAGAGTATGGATGACAATCACGGACTATTCTAGACAGTCCAGTGGAACATTAGTAGGCTCGCAACCTGTAGGTGTTTATTTGAACTGTGTATTCACCAGCTGTACTCTAAAAAAACCCATTGACATGTATTGTGAGTGGATTCTCGAAAACGATACTGTTGATAAATGAGATAAACCTTGGCGACTATGAGACTTAGTGCCTAAATCCTGGAGACTATGCGACTTAGTGCCTGTTTTATAAACCCTGGCGACTATGAGACTTAGTGCCTAAGCCCTGACGACTATGCGACGTAGTGCCTGTTGAGTAAACTCTGGCAACGATGGATTTCGTGTCGATTCCTTAGGATGATCCTTAGGAATGAATGAACAAGGGATAACTAATTCTTAGGGTAGACCCTTAAGAGTAAGGAAGATAATGGGGATGGGTAATTGGGTTAACTGTTTGATGATTAAACATAATAATTATATTATTGTGGGTTGAAAATCCTATGTACTCACCAGGTTTCCCAACCTGACCCACTCAAGCTTATTTGTATCACAGGTGTCAATATGAAGTTACATTACGCTGAAAGATTAAAGAGATGTAGATCACTAGTGTAAATGATTGTAAGTTCTGTTTATGCTTATGTTTCTGTATTGACGATGACATCCCAAATGTTTTAAAATGAATAAAAAAATACGTTTATTCGGAAATGCTTTGATAACGTATTTACCATGTTTTTTTTTCTGGGAACAAATTCCGCAACATTTTTATTAAAAGAGATACTCTGATTTTTATAAAGCATAAACAAAATCGGTCTTTTCTGGCCGTGAAAATGGGGATGTCACATTTGTAGATGGTTATTGAATGATTTGTATCTTTACGTTGAAACCAAATTAATATATATATATATATATATATATATATATATATATATATATATATATATATATGTTATGGGAAAGAAATGGTTTATATTATGTTAGTTATTATTAGGATAAGTATAAATCCTTATGTTTGAGATAAGATTGGATTTATATGAAAATAGTTGGGGATGGGGTTTTGGAGGATTTCAAAAGTTGGGAAAATGACTTAAAAAGGTAACACAGTTTTAAAAATGTTCAAAAATACCATTGATGTTTTTTTTAGTATAAAAAATACCATTTAACCGGTTATCTCAGGTAAAATCTTGTGGTGACCTGTTATTGTGGGTAATCTAATTGACTCCTTCATCCTTGACCTCTCGACTTCGGCGCTTCAACACAAGCCACCAGTGTTACCTAATCACACACCCACCATCTCCCCCTTCGGCCACCACATCATTGCCGACTCCGGTCACCACTAACCATATCATTACCGACTCCGGTCACCACTCACCACACCATCGCGATTTCAAAAAGAAAGCAACAGGCGGTCTCACGGTCCCCTGATTTTGATTTCAGGTACGTAAATTTGATTCCTTGATTTCAGGTAAGTAAATTTGCATTTCTTGTTTTTTTTTCAAAATCAACATCAATTTTAGTGGTTCTGTTTTTTGGGTGTTTAGGTGGTAATGGAAGCAATGATGGTTGGTAATGGTGGTTCACGGAGGAGGTGGAGAGGATGGTTTTCAACGGTGCAAGGGAACGTGGTCGATTGGTGTTTAAAGGGTGATTATCGAAACCTTGTCAAAGCCTTGAAGCAAGTAGACATGGTGATTTGTGCAGTCTCCGATGTTCATATCTGTAGCCATCAAATCCTCCTTCAGCTCAAACTTATCGATGCCATTAAAGAGATTGGAAACATGAAGGTATATACTGTTATAAGTCATATTATCATTACTTTTTTAAAAATTTCCAGAAGTTTTTAACAAATCACAAGTATATATGACATTTCACTAACTTTAGAAATATGTTATATTTGCCTTCTGAGTTTGGTAGTGATCCGGCAAGAAATGGCAGATGCATTGGAACCAGGGCGAGTGACTTTTGATGGCAAATGATGGTGAGAAAAACCATTAAAGATTTTGGGATTCCTTTCACCTACGTATCTGCAAATTGCTTTGTTGGTTACATGGTTGGCGGGTTGTGTCAACTTAGTCATATTCTTCCTTCGAGGGAATCTGTCCTCTGGTTTGGAGATTACACAGATCAAGGGTATATACAAAGTGGGTTTGGTGTTCGGTTCATCGGGGCTAAAGTGGGTTTTGATGCAGGTGGTGATGATTCGTTCGACGAGATGTTTCAAGGTGGTGTAAGGTAGAGATGGGTGTGTTTATGGTGAAAGACGTAAGTGATGGTTTCAGGTTCTGATGATGAATGTAGTGGCAACCAGTCTTTGTCTTTTGGTTGTTTCGATTTCAGAAGGGTTGTGCAATGGTTTTTGCTCTTGGCTGGTGGTAGCAACGGGTAAGTGGGTGTCAGTCGGCCGGTGGAGGTGATGAACATGGGATAGGGTGGTGAGTGTGGCTAGTGATGTTTTTGAGGTCCAATGTTTAAGGTGGAAGTCCGATGGTGGCTATGGAGGAAAAAGGAGGTCCGATGGTGGGTGTTGCCTGTGAAGAAGATGGTTGGTGAATGTGTAAATACTCTTATTTATAATTGATGAATGAGTAAGAAAAGTGCCAAATAAGCAATAAATAAGCCAAGTCATTAAAAAATGCCATGTCATTAGTTTACCTGAGGTAACAGGCCACCAAGAAGGTTTTATGTTACCAAATGTATACTTTAGTGGTATTTTGTGTACAAATTATATCCTTCAATGATATTTTTTGTACTAAAAAACAACAATGATATTTTTTGAACATTTTTCAAACTTCATTATCTTTTTAAGTCATTTTCCCTCAAAAGTTTGGACATGTAGATGGGATATTCGGGTTTGTAGATGTGACAAAATATGCAACTTTGTATCTTTGAAATAAGACCGAGTGTTTGAGTTCCATTCTAATGTACATGTTTGGTACAATACATTATGTCATGCCGTCATGTCGTGCACACAACACCCATAGCCTTAATGAATAATGAATTGCAATATTCTAAAACTATAGTTAGTATATATTTTATATTTACAAGAGTGGCAACCGGCAAGAATGTTATAAACAAAGTATACCGAGTATGCATGTATAATTGTATATACTCAGAAAAAGAATTCAATAATGTAAAAGGAGTATCATGTGTTATGTACTTAGTTAATATAAGTTATGATGATCTTTAAATTGCAATTTCTATATACATAACTAAAAAGGTATTTTTCGTAAAAGATGTTTCTATATTCAGTCATATAAGAGGGGCCACGATGCTTTCATCTCATGCCAATTCTTGATAATTGAGGAACCTTTAGTGTCAAATTTATAGTTTACAAATGTCGTTTGTGAGTCGAACCGATTAAATGTTATCTAAGTTGTCTATACTTTTTTTAGAGTTTTACGATATATGAGTTTATCTTTATTAATGCTAATATCAATATAAATTATTAATTCATTGCCTCATAGATTTGCAAAGAAAATTCCAAAGTTATATATGTATGCTTCTTGAAACGACTGTTTTGAATCTCCCTATCAGATTTTTTATATCGAATTTACGAATGTGCCCATGTAGCCAATGATTCTAAACATTCTTTCCTATTGAAAAAGCAATCACAAAGAAGAAATTTGGAAAAGGAAAAGGAAAAGGAAAAGAAGATAAATAAAGTAAAACCCTACACATATGCAAATATTATTCCAAAGGAAACATGTTTACTTTTCTTTTTACAAGTCTCCGTCCAATTTTCCAAGGTAAAGAAAAAATTGTGTAATGATAACACACCATAATAGGAAAAGGTCATAAGACCTTCGTAAGAATTATGCAGTTGAATACTCATATTTTGGTTTGGTTACAAGTCAAAATTAAAGATACGAGTTTGAACTTTGTACTTTCATATTTTATAGAAAAAAAAATTCATTTTATAAGCAGCAAAATAGACAAATTAGTTAACAGGTTCAAACCACTTTGGATTGGCCAGCTGACATTTTTCATATCTTTTAAGATATGTAATGTGTCCGGTTTAAAAATTTTTGTATTTTATATATTTGACACAATATCAAATGGGCCGGTCCTAGACATGTTTGGGGAGTGCGACCGCACATGGCCAATGTCATGTAGGAGCAAGGTTCTAAAAAACTCGTCATGGCTCCAAGGCTTGTATGTGCCGCCAAGTTTTACCAAAACGCCGCATTGACTCATATATGTGTATAAAAATGAATAATAGTAGAAAATACATATAAAAATATGAATTATATACAAAATTGTCGCCTTAAGTCACGTCTTACAAACGACGTGGCTCGCCAAGGCTCGGAAAAGCTTGAGGCTTGACATTGCCGCCAAGTCACGCCTTACGTTATTTAGAACCTTGTGTAGGAGACATGATTTTTTTTTCGTATGTTCGTATTAGTGACAAATTATAACAAATCAGTGACAGACTAACGACAGATTAGTGACGGATCAATGACAAAATTTTGTTTTGATTATTTTTATAACAAATATCGATTTACCGGAATTTTTATTATATAAAATAAAAGTTATATTTAAGGATCCATTTTTACTTTTCTTACATGATTTCAAAGTCAACGGACCGGTTTGTTTATAAATGACATACAACTTGTTTCTATATAAGCTCTTTATACGCACTTGAAAATTATAAAAGGAAAACAGTATGGGACTACAGGAATGAACAATCCATATCCATGTTGGAATTTTTGAAACGATTTTAGATATTTTTGAGTAAGATGTTAAGTTGGTGTCGTGGTTTCAAGACTCTAATCAGATTTCAGGAGGGTGTAATCTGTTTATCTAAATCGTTCATTCCAAAAACCCAAGATCCAAAATTTGTAAAAGATCATAGACCTATTAGTCTTTTATAAGATACCTATATAATATTATTGATAAAGTTTTGTCTAATAGGTTATCGAGTGTTATTGCAGATGTGGTGAACAAGAAACATTATTATGCTTTTATCAAAGGTCGTCAAAATTTAAATGGTGTGTTGATGTTGAATGAAGTCATATGATGGTATTAAGATTGATATTCGAAGTAGACTTTAAGAATGCCTATAACTAGTTATCTTTGGGTTACTTGGATGAAATATTCTAAAAATGGGTTTTGTTTCAAAATGGAGAAAGTTGGAGCCGGGCTTGTCTAGAATCCTTTATCGCTTCAATTTTCGTAAATGTGTTTCGAACGAAAGAGTTTCAAATTTTAAGGGTTATTCGTCATGGTGATCCCCTCATATTTCATTTTCATAATTATTATGTAAGGCCTTCACATAGCTTTAAAAGAATCTAGTATGAAGGGGGCGATTAAAGGAGCTAAAAATGGGTGATGAAATTGTGCTTAGGACTGAAATTTATTAAAACTAGCAAGAGGCCGAAAAAAATTACAAATAATTAAAATCCCAAGATTGGTTTTGGTAGCTAAGAAACCCAACCAGCTTTATGTTTAGCATTTCTAATAAAAAAATCAATGAAAATATGTTATTATTATGAAACCGTTGATGTTCGTTCAAGGGTTTGAAGACAAAATTACAGAAAAGGTCATGTAATTTAAATAAAACACAAAATATAGTTAATAATGTGATTTTTTTTGACATGGGTAATCCTTGTGGTTTGAACTTTGAAAACATTGCATGATAAGTCGTTATGGCTCACTATGTTTGTCTTTTGTCGTTAGTATATGTAAAAATATACTTTACTTATTTTATCATTTGTTTATATATTTTATTGGGTAAATTACATGAATGATCCCTATGCTTTTGGGTTGTATGCGTACTTGGTCCCTATAAATAATTTTTAACTTGGGCCATCCCTAAGGTTTGTTTTTGTTGCGGTTTTGGTCCCTAATCAATATAAAAAGACTAAGTTACCTTTCTTGTTTTTCTTTTTCCTTTTTAATATCCCAAAATCCAAATTAAAAAAAATTTGTGGGTCCCACGATTACACTCTTTCCGAATCCATTCCTCTTCCCTCATCTCATGTCCCTGCCATTCCTCACTGCACCCCATACCTTGCTGGAAAATTCGTCGGACGGAAAAATCACTCATACCCATACAAGGAACATTTTCCAGTACATCAACCACAACCGCCTTTATCAAGCCATATTTATCGGTAAACAAATCGTTAGTTTTCTTACACAATAAGAACTATAAAATCCAAATTTATTCCCTTTTACGAAATCACATTTATTTGATAAACCTATACAAATAACATTTTCCATTGCATCAACCACTTGTACCCCATGTCTTTATCTCTATCTGCTTATATAAACCACATATATAAACAAGATAGATTACAGATTCAAGGAGAAGAGTTAAAAATATTGATTAGATTTCTTCATTTCTTCCGAATTATGCTTTCAGAAACATAACCATCGTAACATATTTCTCATGGTTTCTCCACCCAAATCAAAATCATGTTGACTGGTTTCTTGCCAGAAAGCTCGTCGAACCGTTCGTTCACAAATTAAAACCTATTTTTTCTGGATTACAATCGAGAGAGAGAGAGAGAGAAAGAGAGAGAAATAGGTGAGATTCTTGTGCATATCTATAGGCGATAGTTCTATTAGTCGGGGTTGCAAACCAATAGGACAAGAAAAATGGGTGAGATTTCTGCTCCTCGAAAAAACTCAAGAATTGATTAACATTCCGGCGAGTTTGTTCAAGAAGAAGCATGTAGATCGAAGATCTGCCACTTCTCCAGTAAAGAGATATAGAAAAATGTTGGTGTTGGTGTTGGTGAGAGGGTACGATGAACCCGTGAGAGTGAGGCGTTTTTCTGATGAATGCGATTTCCGATGATGGTGTTTTTCCGATAAGAGAAGGAGGAAGGAGAAGGAAGATGGCGGTCTTGCACACTGAAAGATGGTACAAGTTACGAAAAATGGATGAGTGGTGGGTGGGACCCATATATTTTCTAAAACAATTTTATTTAACAAAATACATAATAAAAATATATTAAGGGTATTTTGGATATTTTAAGTCGGTTACGGACCAAAGTCGTAACAAAATAAAATCAGAGAGATGGTTTGAGTTAAAAAAAATCTTTAAGGACCAAGTACACAAACTATCCTAAACAATAGGGACCATTTGTGTAATTTACCCTATTTTATTTTATTCTTTTATTATTAGGAGTGGCTTTGTATACGAGGTGACAGCTGAAAGAAAGTATATATATATATCATATATATATATATATATATATATATATATATATATATATATATATAGAGAGAGAGAGAGAGAGAGAGAGAGAGAGAGAGAGAGAGAGAGATTTATAGGACGGTAGTAAACTAGTAAGGGGGGAGGTGATACCTCCGATCATATTCTCAGATAACTTCATCGATGGTACTATAAAGAAATTAAGAGAGATAAGAGATCATAGAGGG